TCATTTGCATGTACAATTGCGGTTCAGGTCCGAGTTGCTAACGATTTTTGGGTTCAGGAGCTGCTTGAGCCAGTGGGGAGCTAGAGGGCAGAGTTTAAAATTTTTATCTCACACGTGCAGAGAATATCCCTGCAAAGTTTCAGCTTTCTACGTTGCCTGGTTCGCGAAATCGTCTTCCGCCAACATATTTCTTTGTGGGCCCCGTACGCGGGGTTTAGGCGCGAATGGGGAAATTTCTTAAAACGGGAGGATGACACACGGCGTAGGGGTATATATCCGAAGTATCAGCCCCCCAGCTTTCCTGGTTGCCGAGTTGAATGTGGGTGACAAAATGCACTCGCTTTGCGCACGCACGCACGCACACACACACACACATACAGACAGCCTCTTGACAATATGCGTTTTTGCTGGCTGCAGCAGCGCGCTGCACAGCAAAAATAGCGCTGCACAGCAAAAACGCATAAAAACTGAGCAAACTGAAAGCGCATTTGAAAATCTTAGAATTTCACGTTATAATAGAAGCAGAAGTCTAGTTCTGTGAACACTGTTCAAGGTAAGTGGGTACTTTTAGTTGGTCCCAGAAAAATCGCAAAGTGGTCCCAGTAGAAACAACGGTTTCTCTTTCATCTTTTTTTCCGAATATTAGCATAAAAATCCTGAAGTTGAGAGCCCGAAACTTCCTTTGTTCTTTTCCAGTGAACGCTTTTCTGCTTTCAAAATTGAAATAGCTACAGCTCACAAGGGGTCATTTCGATTAGCCTTGACATTAATTGCTACCTGTCAAAGAGCCATTTGATAGAAATTCTAGAAAAGTTAGTAAACGGCAAAAAAAACTGCTTGCGGCTGCAGAATTGTAAAACCGGTTTCCTTTGAAAGGGTGCCAACAAGTGCTAAAATTATGGCAGTTTAAAGTAATTTTAAAGTTAAACTTCTGGGCAGTATGCATTTTTGCGTTTGCATAATATGCAAAACAGACAGCGTTTACTGAGCACAAAAACTTTCTGAAAAGACTATTCGCAGCTATAAGCTTGTTTCATTTGCAGCACAAGAAATGTTCGTTATTGTGTGTGGTTCATTTCCATTTCCGCTTTTATGTTTCTGTGTTAGGTAAAGTCCCTTCGCTCGATCAACGTAATATTTCAGCATGGATATACCATCAGTTTGCGAATCGGATCCTGTAATGTTCCACAGCTTGTACGATGAGTCGTTCTGCCCTAGGCAGTCCAGGAATAATCATGAACCGGTGAATATACAACAGCGTAGTGTCAGTGTTCCAAGGCCGGCGCTACATCCAGCACCCGTAGGCCTTTTTCATTTATTGTTTGGCAAAACATTAGCGTTGAGCCTTAGTAACGAGTTGAGTTGAAGGAAGCGGCAGGTAGGATGAGCGAAATGGAGGAAATTACGACAAATATTTAATTTTCCTAATATGACTATTAACGCCTTAAACATATTGTGATTGCTTAAAAACTTACCGGTGCTTGGATCAAGTGATAGAAAGTTTATTTCTAGTTACTTTTGTGCAGCTCCTAAAAGCCTTTTGCCCACAGCACTTCACAACAAAAAATTTACGGCTACGCCGTTGCTACTGGCCGATTTTATTTCGTCAAAGGTGTCATTACTAAAATTGTGTGAAATATAAAATGAGTGAGGATGAAATTTTGACTTTATTGAAAGGACAGGTCAAAATGCAACGTGTGTTTCATCTCTTAGTTGTAAGCACAGGCAGAGTAGTGGACACAAGTGGGAGCGGGAACCATCAGAAACCATCAGAACAGCTTCCCAATCGTCACGTAGAAAATGAGTTTATTTTCACGCGTATTAGACTGGAATAGGAAATGATTATTGAATAATAAGAAATGGGAAGTGCATTTGTGAGATTCAAACCTTCTGAGCGTCCAAAGTGGGTCATCAGAGGACTTCTAGATTTTTTCCGGTCCAGTGGTCGGTCACATACCGGACAAGCAAGGCATGAAGTTTAATATTCATTGCCCACTTCAGTGAATTGTTTCACGGCAACCCATTATTCACTGCGCGAAGTGCACTTCCTGCTTATTTTTCACGTTTTACTCAGCGCTAAGAACTGCATGGTTTTCTTTTTTATGCGTTTTTGCTAAGCAGCTCTACGGCGCTGTTACACTGAGCAAAAATGTTTATTGTCAAAAGGTCGTCCGTGTGTGCGCGTGCTTGTGTTTATTCGAGAGCGAATGGATTTTGTCACCCACTTTCACTCAGCAGCTGGGAAAACTGGGAGGCAGAAATTTTGAGGTTATATTCCTACTTCATGTCTAGGCGAATCAAAGATGGCCTCCTGGAGGAAGGAGTGGGAAAAAGGGGGGGGG